TGGAGGTTATTCATAAAGTAGATTTTTCCCCCTAACTACCATAGCCTAGGGAGACCATTTATTTTTATTTATTTATTTTTATATAGTTTATTGATTTTTTTACAGAGAGGAAGGGAGAGAGATAGAGAGTTAGAAACATCGATGAGAGAGAAACATTGATCAGCTGCCTCCTGCACATCCCCTACTGGGGATGTGCCCACAACCAAGGTACATGCCCTTGACCGGAATTGAACCTGGGGCCTTTCAGCCTGCAGGCCGACGCTCTATCCACTGAGCCAAGCCGGTTTTGGCAAGACCATTTATTTTAAAAACAAACTTTTTATTTTAGGATAATGTTAGATTTATAGCAAGGATAGCTCAGAGACTTCCTGTAGACCTGTATCCAGCTTCCCCCTATTACTGTGGCATATTTGTCACAACTAAGGAACCAACATTAACTGAGCTCCACACTTCATTCAGATTTCACTAGCTTTTCCCTAATGCCCTTTTCCTGTTCCAGGATCCGATCCAGGATACTAATTACATTTAGTTGCCATGTCTCCGTAGGCTCCTCTGGGCTATGACTGTTTCCCAGACGTCCATTGTTTTTTATAATCTTGACAGTTTTGAGGAGTCCTGGCCAAATGATTTGATAGAATCTACCGCAAATTGAATTCATCTGATTTTTTTCTCATGCTTAGACTGGAGTGGTGGGATTTTGAGAGGAAGATTATGAAGGTCATTCTCACATTATATGAAAGCTACATACCATCAACATAACATCATTGGTTAAAAAGTTTGTATTTTTTAAAGCATATTTTTTTTAATATATATTTTATTGATTTTTGACCGGAATCGAACCTGGGACCCTTCAATCCGCAGGCCAATGCTCTATCCACTGAGCCAAACCGGCTTCGGCAAAAGCATATTTTTATTATTGATTTCAGAAAGGAAGGGAGACGGGGAGAGAGAGATAGAAACATCAATGATGAGAGAGAATCATTGATCGGCTGCCTCCTGCACGCCCCACACTAGGGGTCAAGTCCTCAACCTGGGCATGTGCCTTGACCGAGAATCAAACTGTGACCTCCTGGTTCATAGGTCAACACTCAACCACTGAGCCACTCCAGATAGGGGGTCACCTTCATCTTAATCTATTTAAGTCAGTGTTAGCCAGGTTTTTCCACTATAAAGTTACCCTCTTCCCCCTGCTCTACTCTGAGAAAGTGAATTACGAAGTGCAGGCCACATTCAAGGGGATGTTGGGAATTTAACTCCTTGAGAGGAGACTATCTAGGCATTTTTGGTTCACTAAATGATAACCAGTCATCTCTGCATTTAAAAAATAAATGTGCCTTGCCACCTTATCTCTCTGGTTTCTTTCTTTCTTTGTTCACTGAACGTTTAGTTCCTGAACTAGAAAGGTTTTTCAGGGCAGTGAGGATTTTAGGGCTGCATTTTCTGACCTCCTCAACCTGTGTCTTATATGACATGCATCTGATGTGGTCTCCTGCCCAGAACAGGATACCTCACCACTGAAATGAGGTAAAGGGAAGCACCAGGGAATACGAACCCCAGGAGATCACAGCTCTGAATATTTAGGATTTCCGGGTAGGTAAGATTTTATTTCTTCAAGTACCCAAAGTATTTTTTAACATTTTGACCATTTTATATTATAGTCCCGCCCTGACCAGTTTGGCTCAGTTGATAGAGCGCTGGCCTGCGGACCAAAGGGTCCCAGGTTCGATTCCAGTCAAGCGCATGTACCTAGGTTGTGGGCATATCCCCAGTGGGGAGTGTGCAGGAGGCAGCTGATCGATGTTCCTCTCTCATCAATGTTTCTAACTCTCTATCCCTCTCCCTTCCTCGCTGTAAAAAATCAATAAAATATGTTATAGTCCCAAAATGTTATATAATTTAAAATTTTCTTAATGTGTGTGATAACATGATATTACTCCAATTTATAAGTTTTATACAGCTTATTATTCCTTCACTAGAGGTCTAGAGTGTAGGACAAGTTGAGGTTTGATCTGCTTTTATTGTGCATTGAAGCTCTCGGTCAGCTGTCATTTCTTGCTGCTGTCAGTTTGCCTGTCTCCAGCAGTTTGCTTTCTCATTTGCTGTTTATAACCATCTATGAGTTTAGAATCCAGACAACCAAACTTGAGTTAGTGTGTGAGATCTTGGAGATTTAAGTAGGTCTCCAGCATAGGAGCAGCTGCCCGGGAGTTTTATTTTGCATGCTTGCTGGCTTCCCCCTGTCGGAGAGTGTTGAGTTTGGCTGAGTTCTATTACTATCATTTAAAACAGGCTGGTTGATGGTAAACTGCTTTTCATAGTGTGCCCTAAACACATTGTGAATGACTAGGAACCTACGATTCAAATTTATAAGAAGAAAATAATATAGATTGCGAGCCTTTGTAACCACGATTTAATGTTTACTGAGAGTTTAAAATACATAGACATAAAGAATGATTCTTTTAAAAATGGTCCCCTAAGTCAGCGGTCGACAACCTTTCAGACCTCACAGACCACAAATGGTCCACAGACCACTGGTTGGCGACTGCTGCCCTAAGTACCTATATACATCCACAACATTATATTCACAGCTTTTGAAAAATTACCAAAATGGAGGTGTAATATTTTCATTAAAAATGTATGTAAGAAAGCAGCCAAAGGTAGCATATATAATTTAGAGCAGCAGTGAGCCTACTGAGAGGCAGTGACAGCAGGCACAGCGGGGCCGGGATGAGCGGGAGCGGTGCCCAGCCTGGGCTCAGGCTCCTCTCTGGCCACCTGCCGCTTCAGGCACTACTACATCCCTGGGGGGATGTCGGACTGCCAGTTTCTAAACCAGCAGTCCGACACCCCCTCAGGGGTCCCTGATTGCGAGAGGGCACAAGCCAGGCTGAGGTGCACAAATCTGTGCACTGGGCCTCTAGTATATAATATAAGATGCTTGGATATTTATTTTAATATTCTTTATTGGCAAAGTAGGAAACCCTATACATTGTGTTTGAATTACAGGTGTCACTTGCTCTGCGTGAACTTGTGTTGGAGTGCACATGGCTAATCAGTGCATGTTTATGGAGTTAACACCAGAGGGAGGTTAAAGCACCAGAATCCCTCAGACCAGGGCATAGAGGAATAAAGTGAAAACTGATTAGAGCAGTCATACTATTAAGGATGAAAGATTCCTTTTAATGATTCACTCAATTCCTGCAGTAACCTGTTTCCTGCGGTTATGCTGTGTGCTGAGGCAGTGAGGCATCTAGGGCCAGGCAATGGTGCAGCCACCACTGTGTAATGGAGACACGGATTCCTGTGGAAAATTATCATCGGGGAGTGGTTTTAGAGAAAGCAAAACAGGTTAATTAGCAGAGTGGCTAGAAGAATAGTGGTGTGGGTTCATTCAGGACCAGGCTGAATGCTTGCATGGCTCTCTGTAATTGGAGAAGGTGGAAAGAAAAGCACTATGGACGTTTAAGAATCCAGTTGGTTAAATTCTTACATTCAGTAATGATTTTCACTTCTTGGTGGATTCATATTGGGCCCAAGTTGTTAGAATAGACCAACTATGGCAATACAAAGCCTGGTAATCTGATACCCACTTTTCATCTTGTCATTGAAGCCTCTGATTTTGATGAATATGTTTTAAAATGCAGACATCAAATTTATGTCTGTCCATTTAACATTGGTGATGTGGTTGGCATCATTTCATTGCCTTTTTGTGAACTTGTAAGTTATTCTTAATAGCATCATAATGCCCTAACTGGTTTGGCTCAGTGGATAGAGCGTTGGCCTGTGGACTCAAGGGTCCCGGGTTCGATTCCGGTCAAGGGCATGTGCCTTGGTTGCGGGCACATCCCCAGTGAGGGGTGTGCAGGAGGCAGCTGATCAATGTTTCACTCTCATCGATGTTTCTAACTCTCTATCCCTCTCCATTCCTCTCTGTAAAAAATCAATAAAATATATATTTAAAAAAATAGCATAATATTTCTGTCTTGATGACAGGCAATAATTCTGGATTTGTTTCTGTCTGCTTTCTTTAGTTTTATGTTCCATGGTCTCTATTACAGGTTATTTTCAATTTACTGTGTACTTATAAGCAATGCCATCATCAACTTTAAGTTATTTACTGTTGTAATGTTTGTTTTTATTATAAAAGTAATACATCTTTTTAAATAGCATTCAGAAAATGTTTTTAAATAGCACTTGGAAAATATGAAAAAGGTATAAAGAGAAAATATTATTAATACCCCTAACTACAGGTTATCCCCAAAACAACATATACACACTTTAACAGCTGATAGCTCAATTTTGAAAATGAACTGCATTTTAATAAACACTGCCTTTATAATTATTCAAAGTGTGCGTATACATTTTTAAGGACACCCTATATACAACCACTTCTTATTTTTATATATTTGCTTCTACTTTTTAAAAATATCTTATTTTTTGATTTTAGAGACAGAGAGAGAAACATGAATTTATTGTTCCACTTATTTATGCATACATGCCCTGGCCAGCGATCGAACCCGATGCCTCTGATTTTGATAAATATGTTTTAAAATGCAGACATCAAATTTATGGGGACAGCACTCTAACTAACTGAGTTACCCAGCAAGGGCCTGCTTCTACTTCTTATTCACATTTTAACATTATTGGAATACTACTGAACTGTGCTCTGTTTTTAAAATTAACAGTAGATTATAAGCATTTCTTCTTAGGTGGTACAAGTTTTTGAAATATATATATGCTATTTTAATTGGCTAAAAAATGTTTTGTCCTGTGAATGTTAAAATTTGTGAAATCATTTCTGTATTGTTGGCCGGGTGTATTGCTAATTTTCACTATTAAAAGCCATTCACTGGAAATCTTTGTGGATAATTTGTTTTCTGTAGTTTAGATCATTTCTTTTGGATAATAGTTGAAGAAATTGACTTAGTGGATCAAACAGTAGAAACATTTTCTTCTTTTATTGACCTCCACCGAAAATAAATGTCATCGGATAATGAGTGCTAACTCATTCTTTTTTCTTTTTTTCTCAGCTCACTACCCTGGGAAATCTTACACCTTCGAGCACCGTGTTTTTCTGCTGTGATATGCAGGAAAGGTTCCGACCAGCCATCAAGTATTTTGGGGATATTATTAGTGTGGGACAAAGATTGGTACGTTTGCTTATTTTTTCCAATTTACTAAAGAATGATATACATTCATATATATATATATATATATATCTACACTAATAAAAGAGAAAAATGGTAATTGGCGTACGACGCTACCCTTTTCATTGGCTAATCAGGGCTATATGCAAATTAACTGCCAACTCAGATGGCAGTTAACTGACAACAAAGATGGCAGTTAACTGACAACAAAGGTGGCAGTTAATTTGCATATGTAGGCACAATGCAGGGAGGCGAAAGGGAAAGCAGGAAGAAGCCCCCTGCCACTGACAGTGATCGGAAACCCAGGGGGGAGCTAAGA